ATCTGCTGGGAGATAGCGTCAGATTCCACAGGTTGAGAGCTCAGTCCTACTAGACTGCTCCCCACCCCCAACTTCAGACTCCATTCAAAAGCCCAGATTGCCACCTATGCTTTTGGCCAACTGGCTATAAATAAGAGGTTCCCAAGACCCCCTCCTATGGTTGGATTCATTTGCTAGAGCAGGTCACAGAACTCAGAGAAACATTTTACTCAATAGATCACCAGTTTATTGTAAAAGGGTATAACTCAGGAATAGCTAGATGGAAGAGACGCATAGGCCAGGTAAGGGGAAAGGGCATGGAGCTTCTGTGCTCCATGTTATTAACATAACAAAAGACAACTTTATTGCTCTCATCACTTAGGAGATTCCAAGAGGTTTAGGAGCTCTGTGCCAGAAATCCGGGCAAAGCCCAAATATGTATTTCTTATTATAAATCACAGTATCACAGATACCATCCTCATCCTCACTTGCCTATTCAAGAACATCACTCTGACAATTGTCCCTCTCTTTCTAACATCCGAGATTTTTCCCTCATCATACAAACGTGCTGTTGTTTCCTCCACCTTCTACCACTTGTTGTCACCCCCTTTCATTACCCCATTTTGAATCAGTATTCTTCAAAACATTGTCTGCACTAGCAATTTACAAATCCTTTCCTCTCACTTTCTTCTCACCCCATTTCAGGCAGGATCCCCATGACTCCTCCGAAAGTGCTTTTGTCAGAGTCATCTGTGACCTCCAGGTTGCTAAGCCCACTGTTCAGTGCTCGATCTCTGTTTCTTTGACCTGTCAGCACATCTGCATGATCCTCATTTCCTTTTTCTGGATATGCTTCTCTCACTTGAGTTCTAGAATATCACACTCTCTTTGTGTTTCCCTTTTTCACTTTGGATTTTTCTTTACTGTTCTTCTTTTTCTCCCTAACTAATTAATATTGCAGTACACTGGCTCAGTCTTTGGTCCTTCTCCCTAACCTTTTCTCTGACTTTCCCGTGGTCGTCTCAACCAGTGTCATGAATCCCATACCTATTTCAGGCTCAAACCACTTTCCTGAACTCAAGATTTACGTTTCCAACTGCCTATTTGACATTTCCATGTGGATATCTAATAGACCTCTAGAACTCAACTTGTCCAAAACTGAAACTCCTGATCTGCCCCTTCTCTTCAAAATATGTGACCCACCCACAGCCTGCCTTGTTTCAGTTGATGGCAGCTCCATTTCTCAATTGCTCAAGGCAAAAGACTTGGAGAAATTCTTCTTTCTCTGATAGCCCACATCCCATCTGTCAAGAAGTCCTTTTGGTTCTGTCATAAAAATGTTTCCAGACTTCAACCACATGTCCCTATCTCCAATGCCCACAGCCGTCACCATCTCTCCCCTGAAGTCCTATAGTCCCAGACTCCCTACTTCCATCCTCGCTCCACCCTACAGCCTGTCCTTAACACAGGAGCCAAGAGGGACTCTTAAAAGCTCGTTCAGATGGTATCAATTATCTGCTCAAAATGCTGCAGTGGTGTCTCACTTCAGACCCTTACAGCGGCTGAAAGGACCCAACCTGCTCCACTTCTGCCTTTCTGACTTCATCTCAGACTGCTCTCTGTCTTGCTTCCTCCGTTGGTCTCTTTTCTGATCCTCAGACTCATATGTCTGCAGCTGCCTTTGGGCCTTTGCTCTAGCTGTACCCTCTGCTTTGAAAGCTCTTCACTCAGATATCCTCGGGGCTCACGCCCTCCTGCCTTTATGTCTTTGATCTGATTTTGCTTTCACTGAACCCTTCCCTGACCACTCTCCTTAAAATGGCAACCCCTTCCTTCTTACCTTACTCTGTGTTTCCTTTTCCCTGTATCATTTAACCACTGGCTAAGGAAATACATAATTAATTTATTTATGTATATTATATATGGTCTGTCTTTTCCCCTGAAACCAGGTTCTTTGTCTTCTGCATTCATTGATGTATCCCAAGGTCATACAAAAATGCCTAGCACATAGGAAGTGCTCAATAAATCTTTACTAAATGAATCAAGGACAGCCTTGCTGTCTTACATTCTTTACAGTCCACATAAGCGCTCAAGCTTGGTTTGCCCTCATTTTTAGTTTTTTTGAGTGAATAGATGAATGTGTTCACCAAATAAACCAATACTGATAACTCTTCTTTTGTTGCTAAGTCTATTTAAATTTATTTTAAATGTGTGACTAGGCAAGTAAATAATTAAACAAATAAAACAAAACAAAATGGGAGTGTGTTAGATTGTATTCCCTCACTGGGAAGAACTACAATGTTGGTACAGAATGTAACACGTTTACAATTGTTTTCACAAGTCACTCCAGAATTAAAACTGTTGGAGCTACTCAACTGTGTTGATTTGTTCAGTCTTTCCACTGTCTTACCCCTGGGTGGTGACATCCTGCTGGGATAGCAGTGCTGTCATAAAGTCAGCAGGCACCCTGCAGTGAGACCCAATCACGAGACTCCAAAAAATTCCTGCTTAAACTCTGTGAGCTCCTTGAGGGTAGGGCTGGGTTTCAGTCTTTTTTATTCCCAGATCCAGGCACCCAGGTGAATGAAGGACAAACCGAAGATGCCGATTGTGAGGGAATTTCAGGACGTTATACAATCAGTATGCAATTATTAAACACTGCTTCCATAGTTCTCCAAAAATATGACATAAAAGGAAGTGGACAATTTATTTCATCCTGATATTTGCCTTCTCAGAAAGTAATTAACCTGGTTTCAGCCACTTATCTCCAACAGGTATTTTGTGAGAGTCAAATGCCATAATGCATTTGAAACAACTTGAGTTTTGTTTCATGTCAGAATAGTTTGAAAGACCTGTTTTTAAACTATCAGAGAGCAGTGGCTTTTTATTATTCACATGGGATGGATCAGATACTTCCAAAGGGGCCTACACTTCTCAACCAGAAAGCTTGTGAAATTTCTTGCATCCCTTCTCCCCCTGCCCAATCTGGGTTGTGAAGGAAATTTTTGACAGTTACATGTATGACATTTACCTGAAGTAAGTCACTTAACCTCTCAGAACCTCAATTTCTTCACTGTAAAATAAGAATAATATCTCTCACATAAAGACATTGCCAGGATTGGGGCTGGCCCAGTGGTGTAGTGGTTAAGTTCGCACACTCTGCTTCGGTGGCCCCGGGTTTCCAGGTTTGGATCCTGGGCATGGACCTATGCACTGCTCATCGACCCATGCTGTGGTGGCGTCCAACATACAAAATAGAGGAAAATGGAAACAGATATTAGCTCAGGGCTAATCTTCCTCAGCAAAAAGAGGAAAATTGGCAACAGACGTTAGCTCAGGACCAGACTTCCTCACACACACACAAAAAGGATGTTGCTGGGATTCAATGTGATAGTGTGTATGAAATAATTTTGTAAACCTGAAAGCACTAGGTAAACAATACTTATTCTAATTAATATTACCATCATTAATAATAATTATGCTAATAGTTAGCATTGAATCCTGGCTAAAGAGAAAGGAATAGAATATTTTATCTTTTAAGTCTTTTTGTCCTACATGGATTACACGCACGCACGCACACACACACACTCACAAATATATTTCTAGTAAAATTATCAGTCCACAGAACTATAGTGAGTGGCAGGTTGAATGCTTCCAAAGCTGCTGTGAAAACCAGATTCTTTGCTGTCAGCACAGAAAACCACACTAGAACTTTTGCCAAATGACATACAAGGCTGTAAAAGTTGCCTTTTCAGCTACACTGGCCTCCATTATCATTATTTGTTAGAAGATTTTGAGGCCATTTCCTGCTGCATTCCACCATGTTTGGCATGGAGCATTCTGGCTAAAGCACTTACTCTTTCTTGACGTAACACCAGCTGGGGGTGGTTGGGCAGGGCAGTGCAAGTCTTAAGAAGTTAACATCCTGTGTATGTGGAGACTCACTGCTACAAAAGCCCGGGAGTAAAATCCCCGTTGTTTACTAAAGTAGCTTCTAGGGCCTTATTAACAGTTATATCACCCTTTGTACTGCTGGGTCCCAGGTCAGTAAATATTGTTTTTGGAACCACGTGGAGTTTGGGATACCACAATTCTTTTGAATGTAGGGCATTTAAGAGAATTTGGTTGAAATTAAAAAAATGATTCTGAAGTTTTGTAAAAAATCTGAAGCACTGAGATAATATAGTCAAAGAGAATGGTTAGAACATGAGACTAATGAGGAGAATTTGCTTCAATTAAACCAATTAATGGGTGGATTAGGTCATATGTAATAGGAGGATTAGATTTAATATGTTGTGGGAAAAAAGGAATTCCTACTGGATATACTCTCAAAGTATCTTATTTAACATCTAGATAAGTGCTAGTTTCTCCTTTTAAGAGTTATACAACATATGTTTTAGCAATCATTTTTATATCTCAGAAATATCTAAAAAATAAAATAATCATTTGAGTCTACAGAACATAATTGGAGTGAGTACTTATATCTAGGGACATGGTGGATTTTGATGTCAACAAATAGAACTTTTTTGACAACAAAAAATAGAATTTTGATACTTATGAAATTCTCAAATGATATTTCAGTTAACAGTGATTTATTTCAAAGACTGAAGACATCTATTCATTGTAGAAGTAGCTACTTCTGTTGTAAATTAAATTAACAGTCAATAGTTTATATGAATCCTGGTATTTGGTTGCTTCCACCTTTCACTAATATGGCTTTGGAATTTGCCAATTCAAGAACATAATATAGTGGAAAGGGTTTGGGCTTTATAATCAGACTGATCTGCTCTCAAATCCTGGCTGTCATGGACTTGCTGTGGGGCCTGGGCAGCTTCCCCAATGCTGCTAATCCTACCCCATAGGATTGCTGAGAGGATTAAATGTGATATATATTAAGTGACTGATAGAGTGCCCATGAAAAAAATAGGTGCTCAATAAATATTAATTCCCTTCCTTCTCTTTCCCCTGCTAGTCCACTTGTGTTTTTAATGGATCATCCTTTCCCCTGGATTGTATTGTAGGAAGTATTCTGGATGGATGGCTGCTGGAAACTCATTGCCATAGCCAGCTCTTCTTCAATACTTAAGGATTTACCCTGGCGTTGAGTAATGAGAATTTCGGTAAGAAAAATTAGATGATGATAGTATATGGACTTTTCTTAAAAGGTCATTTGAGTCTCAGATACTTCATAAGTTACATGACTCTTCTCTAAAGATCTTGGGGGGCCAGCCCGGTGGCGCAAGTGGTTAAGTGCTCACGCTCCGCTGTGCGGGCCCGGGATTCGTCAGTTCGGATCCTGGGCGCGCACCAATGCACCGCTTGTTAAGCCCTGCTGTGGCATCGTCCCATATAAAGTAGAGGAAGATGGCCACAGATGTTTGCCCAGGGCCAGTCTTCCTCAGCAAAAAAGAGGAAGATTGGCATTGGATGTTAGCTCAGGGCTGGTCCTCCTCACACACACAAAAAAAGATCTTGGGATGTCACAGATGTCTGCTCACGTATGGGTGGTTCTTATTTTGAAAATAAATAAAATAAGTTTTTGAACTCTGTTAACAACCCTGATATGTTCTTCATGTCGTTGTAAATGTATTATTTCACTTATCTCACTCTATTTTGTTCTTTAAATGTCTCTCTACTCAGTAAATTGTATAGTCTTTGAGGACAAGGTCTGGATATTATTCATCCTTTCAGTGTAGATTAAATGAAACAGATTTTTAGTGGTTAAGGTGGCAGTCAACACTGCTTTCTGAAATTATAAAGCCTTTGAAAACATGAAAGAGGCAGGCAAAAGTATCGAGATTCTGGGAAGTTCTAAGATAAGTAATTTTCCTAAATTACCAAAAAAAATTATCATATAGTGGCTCTCAGAATGGCATAGAGTACCTTTAGTTCATTCCATTTCTATCCAATTTTTCTCCAAAAGTTATTAACACATAATTAATTTTCACACAGTTACATGAAATTAATATAAAACTAGTAAACATATTAGTAATTCATGTTTTTAATGTGTGCTGTATAAAATATGTTGGAATATTAAAAAGGAAAAAAGGATGAGAAGGAAGTTAAGGATAATTAAAACAAATTAAGTGGTGATGTTAGTATGTAAGTAAATTTTCTTAAAATTAATATGTATTAAATATATATTAAAGAATTTTGCACATAGGAGACAGAGCTGGAGGTGGAAGAGAAAGCAAAAAAGAGAAATTCTAGTTTCATTACTTCTGATAAGGAACATTAATTCTGCAATTTTGATAAATTTATAATTTTGACACTAAAATATTTCGAATCTTACTTTTTAACAGAGAAAAATTTTAACCATTTTGTCTGTGATTCTATTTTTCAGAAACCCTATTTGAGAAGTACTTCCATCCAGTGCTACTTGTGTTTACTTCTGAACAGTCATTTTTTAACTGAGGCTGGAATTCATGTCTTCATTTTGAGGTAATTTTGTCTTTCAGCATAAATATCATCATGTTAACGGCCATGATCATTGTTCTTCAATTTTCTCTCTGTTAAATTAGTTTGTGTTCAGTTTCCTTAAATCTTTAGGTACTTAGTATTTGAGGTATGATAGAGGGCAGATTATAGAGACTCAGAGAAGGTTTTGGCAAACACCGCACTGAGCATTTCTATATTCTGGTAATATTCCAAATGAGTATTATATCCTCCAAATAAGTTGGACCTATTAGTATCTAAGTAAACTTGGAAGTATACTCCTTATTAATGTCCTGCATGATTTTCACAGTAGTAAAAAAAGGTAGATATTTAGGGCTTGCCTATGTTACTTTTTAATCTATCCCTGGCACTAACTACTCTTATCCTTTGACCCCTATCCTAGTTGAGTTTTTCCTCCTAATCAACATTCATATTTTTCCATGCCTATTAATTTTTTCTTCTCTCTTAGATGCAGCTAATACACTGCACCCAGTTGGCCCAAGCACCTAACCTCTAGTTATGTAATCTGACTCTCAGTTCAGTTTTACTCTGCTAATGCCTTCATGGTATGGGGAACCATAGATTCGTGCAGGTAAATCTTCCTTGCAAGAAAGATTAGTGTTGGCTCTCATGCTTCTGGAAGGATCCATCAGGGAATGATTATTTTTCTTGAGGCTCTAAGAATCATTCCGCAGTCACTTGGTCAGTGTTTGTGTCTTTTCTCCAGATATTAAATTTCTGTTTTACCAAAGTGAGTAAGTATATGATTATTCAGCTTAGACTGGGCTGAAGTCTGTAATGTTTATGGAGAAAGCTGCCACAAGAATCATCATAATGTGAGCAGTATGCAAGGGGCCTGTCTAACCTACTGTAAGAACATTTGCTGTCAAAATCATTACATGAAAATGATTATCGCTTATTTTAAGAATTTTACCTATTTATTAGACTTAAAAGTCTGATGGGACCGCTACTTAAAGAAAAGTAGTAATTCATTCAAAAAGATTCACTGAGCACTACCACACATCAGGCACTGTTTTTATTTCATTGTGATAGATTATACCAGGTTATTTATGTTATCCCTCCAAATCAGGCTCTTCTCTAATCCAGGTGGGTCTGTCCTCAAGTTAGCCTAAAGCGTCAAGGTTGTACTATATGTTTGGTGTTTATATTCTTCTACAAGGCTGTTGAATGCACAAAGGCAGGGATAACGCTCATCTTTTCACTAGTTAGAATAAAAAATTCCTGATTGTTCTTTTGCCTGTAGTGTTCATCAAGACAATATGATGTTCATTCAAAAGGCTTTGCTCTTTGGTTTTGCTTCCAGCTGTATCAGTGCGGGTCTTCCTAAAACAGAGGCAAACTGGCAGGATGTAATAAGTGATTTGAAAAGAATTGAAGATCTTATTCAAGTGAGTACTCATTTTTCTATAAAATATCTGGTATAATTGCTATGGAGTATGGCTCTCCCTGTGTTTTGCTGTCAATCTTAATGAAATCTCACTTGGAACAATAATATTTTTGTAGGAATTTGTGAGCCTTGTAATGCCTCAGATAAAATCTTTTACTTACAATTTTCAGATCCTAGTAATCTTTAAAACTCAATTTATAAGTGCCCCAGCATGAAGAGCTCTCTGTCACCACAGGCTAGAGACTCCCTTCTCTTACTAGAGAAACTAAGTGGCTTGGTGGCGCTTGCAGGGAGAATGGCCTGACCTAGGGAAGGGCGAACCCCGCTGCCACCTCGAGATGCCGGCTGGCCTGGCGGAACCTGCAGGCAGCAGAGAACAGGATCCCCATTGACAACAGGGCCAGGGAAGTGCCTTCTACCCCAGTGGGCGACACAACAGGGAACAGTGGGAGTCCCAGGAGCACCAGGTGAACCAAGCCTTCCAGATTAGCACTGCAAAGATTCTGAAAACTAAACTGTCCTTGGAATCATACCATACAAACATAGGTCAGAACCTGTGTGCTAAACCTAAACAGGGTGGCTGCATGCTAAAATAGAAGACTTAAATAGACTAGGGTCGGGGCCGGCCTGGTGGTGTAGCAGTTAAGTGCGCGTGCTCCGCTTCGGAGGCCCAGGGTTCACGGGTTCGGATCCCAGGTGCACACCGATGCACTGCTTGTCAAGCCATGCTATGGCGTCGTCCCATATAAAGTAGAGGAAGATGGGCACGGATGTTAGCCCGGGGCTAATCTTTCTCAGCAAAAAGAGGAGGATTGGCATCGGATGTTAGCTCAGGGCTAATCTTCCTCACACACAAAAAAATAATAAATAAATAAATAGACTAGAGTTTCCTAATGTAATAGCCCATATACCAGAACAAACTTGAAAATTATTCATCATACAGAGAAGCAAGAAAATCACAACTTGAATGAGAGAAGACTCTGAAACAGACTCTGAAACTGAACCATCATAAAAATGTGCCAGCAAGCAATTACAAATACCCTTGAAACAACTGAAAAAATAGAAAGTCTTAGCAAAGAAGTACAATATGTAAAAAGAACCAAATGAAAATTACATAACTGAAAAATACACTAACTGAAATACAAAATGAACTGGAGAGGCTCATTAGCAGAATGAATATGACAGAGGAAGGACAGTGAACCTGAAGATAGAATAACACAAAGAAAACAGACTGAAAAAAAAAGAGCCTCAGGGATCTTTGGGACAAAGATCCAGCATTCCTAGCATTAGCAACCCAGAAGGAGAGGAGCAAGAAAATACAAGTAAAAGACAAAGATTGGCTGAACTGATAACAAAACGTAAACCAACTTTATGGTTTGAACCAACTTCAACTCCAATGACATGGGTAGGATGAAATTAAAAAGAGAGAAAAAGATAAACTATATTGTAGTGGGTTGAATAGTGTCCTCCCAAATTCATGTCACCCAGAACCTCAGAATGTGACCTTCTTTGGAAATAGGGTCTTTGCAAATATAATTAATTAAGATGAGTTCATACTGGAGTGTTTTGGGCCCTAAATCCAATGACCAGTGTCCTTATAAGAAGAGGACAGGCACAGAGAAGAGGCCATGTGAAAATGGAGGCAGCTACAAGCCAAAGAAGATTGGAATGATGCAGCTACCAGCCAACGAAGGCGAAAGATTGCCAGGAGCCACCAGATGCTTGGGAGACGTAAGGAAGAATTATTCTCAAGAGCCTTCAGAGGGAGCGTGGCCCTATCAACACCTTGATTTTGGACTTCTAGGTTCCAGAACTGTAAGAGAATAAATTTTTGTTGTTTTAAGCCACTCACTTCATGTTGCTTTGTTATAGCAGCTCTAGGAAGCTGATACATATGCACACAATAATTTTAAAAATGAGAAGTGGCTTTATTAATAACACATAAAGTAGACTTCGCAGAAAATAAAATTATTAGAGTCAAGAGGGACATTACATAATGGTGAAAGATCAATCCACCAGGAATACATAATGACCTTAAATGTGTACACACCAAAAAATAGAGCCTCAAAATGTATGAAGCAAAATCTAATTGAACTGAAAGGAGAAACAGACAAATCGACAATTATAGTTGAGGACTTCACCACCTCCTTCTCAGTAACTAAAAGAACTACTAGACAGAAAATCAAAAAGGATATAGAAGAATTGGACAACTCCATCAACCAGCAATATCTAATTTACATAGATAGAACACTTCACCCAACAACAGCAAATACGCATTTTTTTCAAGCACCATTCACCAAGACTGAATATATCCTGAGCCATAAAACAAACTTTAACAAATTTATCGGAATTGAAATCCCACAGGGTATGTTATCTGACCACAGTGGAATCAACTAGAAATAAATTATGTAAATATAACAAGAAAATCTCTAAACATTTGGAAATTAAATAATTCACTTCTAAATATTCCATGGGTCAAAGAGTAAGTCTTGAAGGATATAAAGAATACATAGAACTGAATGAAACAAAAATACGACATATCAAGATATGTGGGATTCAGGTAAAGCAATACTGAGAGGGAAATTTATAAAACTAAATGATTACAGTAGAAGAGAGGAAAGATTTCAAATCAACAATCTAAGTTCCCTCCTCAAGAAACTGGAAAATGAAGAGCAAAACAAACCCATTGCAAGCAGAAGAAAGGAAATAATAAAGATAAGAGTTGAAATTAATGAAATTGAAATCAGAAAAACAATAAAGAAAAGTAATGAAACATAAATCTTGTTATTTGGAAAAAAAATCAATAAAATTGATAAACCTCTAGCAAAACTGACAAAGATAAAAAGAGAGAAGACACAAACCATCAATATCAGGAATACAATTGGGACTATCACTACAGAACCTGCAGCCATTAAAAAGATAATAAAGAAAAACTATGAACAACTTTACTCTTGTAAATTTGACAACTTCGAGGAAATGGACCAATTCCTCAAAAACCACAAACTGCCAAAACATAACCCAGAGGAAGTAGATAATGCAAAAACATCTATAACCAATACAGACAGTGAAGTCATCACATGCAAACCTTCAAAAGATTCTCCAGGCTCAGCTGGTTTTACTGGAGCATTCTACTGAACATTTAAAGAAGAATTAACACCGATTTTACAGTCTCTTCCAAAAATAGAAGAGGAGGGAACACTTTCCAATTCATTTTAAGAGGCGAGTATTACCCTGATGCTAAAACTAGGTAAAGACAATACCAAAAAAGAAAACTACAAATACCTCTAATGAATTTAGATGCAAAATTTTTCAATAAAATATTAGCAAACCAAATCTACCAATGTGTTAAAAGAATTATATGCCATGACCAAGTGGGATTTATTCCAGGTATGCAAGTCCTGTTCAATATTTGAAAATCAATCAATGTAATCAATCACTATCAATGGGCTAAAGAAGAAAATCATATATCAAGAAAATCAAATCATATCAGTTGATGCAGAAAAGGCATTTACAAAAATATAATACCTGTTCATGATAAAATTTCTCATCAAACAAGGGATAGAGAGAGAACTTCCTTAACTTGGTAACAGAGCATATACAAAAAGCCTAGAGCTAACATCATACTAAATGGGGAAAGATTGAGTGCTTTTCTCCTAAGACTGGAAACAAGGCAAGGGTGTCTTCTCTCACCACTCTTATTTCAACATAGTATTGGAAATTTAGCTAAATCAGTAAGGCAAGAAAAAGAAATAACAGGCATAAAGCAAAAAAAAAAGAAATAAAGGAAGATTATAAAGGAAGCAATTATAAATCACCCCAGATCTTTTTTGTAAGAAAGTACCAATAAATAGCTATATTTTATTTAAAGAATACAAATTAAAACTGTGATAACATATCATTAGGCACCTATAAGAATATCTAAAATAAAAAAGTGATAATGCCAAATGTTGGCAAGGATGTGGAGAAACTAGATCACTCATATATTGCTGGTGAGAATGTAAAATTGCACAGCCACTCTAAAATAGTTTGGCTGTTTTTTATAAAACAAAACATGCATTTACCATATGACCCGACAATTGCACTCTTGAACATGTATATCGAAGAGATGAAAACTTAGGTTTACACAAAAACATGCACTGAGGGGCCGGCCAGTGGCATAGTGGTTAAGTTCATGCGCTCCACTTCGGTGGCCTGGGGTTTGCGGATTCAGATCCTGGGCACGGACCTACGCACTGCTCATCAAGCCATGCTGTGGCGGCATCCCATATACAAATTAGAGTAAGATGGGCACGGAAATTAGCTCAGGGCTAATCTTCCTCACCAAAAAGAGGAAGATTGGCAACAAATATTAGCTCAGAGCCGATCTTTCTCACAAAACAAAAATGCACTGAATGTTCATAGGGCTTTATTTGTAATAGTTAAAAACTGGAAACAACCCAAATGTCTTTTCAACAGGAGAATAGTTAAACTGTGATACATTATATCATGGAATAATACTGATAATATATAATATTATATATTTTAGTATATTAATAGCAATAAGAAACAAATTACTGATATTCACAACGAGCTGGATGGATCTCCAGAATTATTATTATGCTGTGTGAAAAAAAAGCCAATCTGGATAAACAAACTGTGCTACATCCATACAATGAAATGTTATTCAGCAATAAAAAGAAATGACCTGTCAAGCCATGAAAAGACATGGAAGAACCTTAAAAGTATATTGCTAAGTGAAAGAAGCCAATCTAAAAAGGCTATATTGTGATTCCAACTATATGACATTCTGGAAAAGGTAAAACTATGGAGACAGTGAAAAGATCTATGGTTGCCAGGGGTTAGGGGAAAGAAAAGGATGGATAGGCAAATGAAATAGGTAATGTTTAGGTCAATGAAACTATTTTGTATCATACTGTAATGGTGGATACATGTAATTATACATTTGTTAAAACCCATAGAATGTACAACACCAAGTGAACCCTAGTGTAATGTAATATATGTAATCTGTGGACTTCAGTTAAAAATGTATCAATATTGACTCATCAATTATAATAGATGCCCCACACTAATGCAAGATATTAATTATAGGAGAAACTGGAGGAGGTGTGTGAGGGGATATGTGGGAACTTTCTGTACTTTCTGCTCGTGTTCTGTATACCTACAGCTGCTCAAAAAATAAAGTCTATTAATTTTCTCAAAAAGCCAATCTCAAAAGTTTACATCCTGTATGATTCCATTTATATAAGATTCTGAAATGATATCTTAGGAATGGGGAGCACAGAAGTGGTTGCCAAGGATTAGAAGGATGGGGGAGGGGGTGTGTGGGGAGGAAGGTGGTTTTGGCTGTAAGAGAGTAGCAGGAGGATCCTTATGGTGATGGAACTGTTCTGTGTCTTAACTTTGGTGGTGGTTACATGAATTTACACATCTGATACACACACACACATTAATGCACATAAAACTGGTGAAATCTGAACAAGGTGGGTGAGTTGTATCAATATCAATTTCCTAGTTGTAATATTGTACTATGGTTATGCAAGATACTACCATTGAGGGGAAACAGTGAAAGATCCACAGGATCTCTCTGTATTTTCTCTTACAATCATATATGAATTTAAAATTATCTCAAAATAAAGAATTTAATTTAAAAAGCTTAATTTAATGTTTTCAGTAGGTTGTTCTTATTATATCTGAAGCAGGGCATGGTTTCTCATATCATCTAATTTTTTTTCCTTTCAGTCTATACATATTGATGCCACTTTATATACTGAAAGTGATGCTCATGTGAGTATAAGTTTTCTTTTTCAAAGTTGTTATATTCTTCCAGTTTTCAAAAGTCTAAGAAGTATATTTTCATAAATTTACTGAAAAAACATGTATAGTTTTAAAATCTAACTTTTGGTGTGTTCTTACAACATACGATCAATGAATTTTATAAGTAATTGTTGAGGTTTTGGGACTTGGGGACAAAGAGCTACATAGATGCTATTTTTGTAATGGTGCCAAATTAAAACATAAAAAAGCCTTTTCCGTCAATGTCAAACAAAACATATTATACATTTTTGTGATGCAGTTAGATCATGATGCAATTAAATGCAAGAATCAGGTTAACTGATTCAATTTAAAAGTATCCAACATATCAGTTGTTTTCAGTGCTGTAGTGTATTACCATCTTTAATCGTATTTTCTACAAATTGCTTAAATGCATTCACGTTCTACATTTTGAATGAATCTCTACAATTGTCAGAAAAGGATTCTAGCTGGTTATTCTCTATGTGAGAAAAGAAAAAAACACAACCCATAAAACCTATCAGAATTCAAAAATGATCTTGAACTTGTTTCATTAATACACTAACCTTGCCTAAGGCATGTATGATTTCAGTCATGTTGCTAGTCCCTTCCCTCTGGATTGGTTACAAAAAACCAAGAAACAAATACCCGACTTCTTCACCTCGTGGAAAACAAACTCTGTGTTGTGTGCGTTCAAAACAATGAGTCCTCTCTCTGTTATTCCTCACTTAGAGCTTCTCTGAAATAGAAGGTTTTGCCCCCACCAAGACTGTCTGAGCGTTGGAAAGAAGCCATAGCCAGAAACTAGAAAAAACAGATATTCACCAACCACTTGGATAGTGCTGCTGCACATAGAAATTGTCTCCCTCCTTTGGCTTCAGCATGTTTTCCATTTTTCTTTGCATTTTTTTCAAAGTAGAAGCAGTCAATTAACTACCAACACTCAGCATCCTGAGACTGCTTTTTTGCAAGAAGATAACCTTGCAGCTCATAGGTCATAGGAAGAAGCTGAGATTGAAATTTAGATTTAAATCCTGACTCAGCTACTTCCTAGCTGTGTTACCTTGGAAGTCACTAAACACTTCTGAACCTCAGTTTTGTTATTTATTTTACCATTTTGTTTTATTTATTATTTATTTGATTATCAACATGGTGAGTACTTATTACCCTTTCAGTCCTGAGCAGCGGCTGTCGGGGATGAGGAATATTGCCAGTGCCAGGCACAAGTGTGTTCCTTCACTCATTCATTCATTCATTCATTCAGTAAGCATTTAAGTCCTTGCGGGGTCCCAGGCACTGTACCAGGCATTGAGAACACAAAGTCAAACAAGTCATGGTCAAATTCCCCGATGTTCATTAAATGCTTGCTTTTTTTTTAAGTTTAGGTTTTTGGTAAAGTAAATGTTGTGGGAAACGTATTATTGTGGTACCCGAACGGTACCTGTCTGATTTGGCCAGCCTGTGAGGAGGCAATACGTGTGCTGTGATTTTTCTAACAAATTTCTTGGAATCACGGCTGCCTCTGGAGCCTTGGAACTTGCAGGAACAGCATGATTAGCGGCTACCACTGTTTAAAATGTTAACACTACAATCTGATTCTAAAAATTCTTCCCTGTGCGCTATCTATATTAATGTTTTGAGAGTTTCGGGCCAGTATTATCACCCTTTTACACAGAGGAAATGTGCTCCATAAGAAAAAGCATTTATTTCGATGTTTTCTAGTTTTATATTCTTTCTTCTGTACAATATCACCCTCCTTCTTCATTGTTTTCTTGTCAGTTTGTTTTGGTTTTGGTTTCAAAGCCAAAAGAGAAAAAAATCAAGCTGCTTACTATGTAAAACTTCTTAGGGGTATTGTGTTTCTTTATAAAATATTTGGATTGATTTTTTAAAAGATCAGAATTACATCTATGTGAGAATGAATAGTGAGAAAACAATTTTATTTCAAAATGGTTCTTTGTGACTCTATTTGTAGCCCAATTGCAAAGTAACAGCGATGAAGTGCTTTCTTCTGGAGTTACGTGTTATTTCGCATGAGTCCAGAAATATGGACATAAATGAAACAGTAGAAAACCTTATCATCCTGGCAAACAGCAGTTTATCTTCTAATGGGGTGAGTTATCCAATAGTCATATTGGATATAGAGCTACAGCGGATGTTTTTGGCTTTCTTGGGAGAAGTCATTAGCTGGATATAAGGGACAAGCAGACCCTCCAAAGGGGCACTCAGGAGAGGGAGTTAATTCCAGTGGAGTGGCATCCAGAAGTGGCCCCATCACTAGTGTGCACACAGTCCTAAACTGTTCATTGATTTATTCATTCAACAAACATTTACTGCACAATGCCAGGCAGTGTGCTTTGGTGCTAGAGTGACAGTGGTAAACCAGTTAGGTCACTGACCTCAAGGTGTTTATCACCAGGTACAGTGGATAGGCATTAGTATAATTATGTAATTAAGTGTTTAGCATCAATAATAGAAATCCACATTTATTGGGTTTTTACTCTGTGCCAGATACTATTCTTCCAGGATTAAGTGGTAATTCATTGAATCCCCACAATAAATCTGTGAGACAACTATCCTTGTTTCTGTTCTAAGATTGCAGAAATTGGAGCGCTAAGAGCTTGAATCGCTTCCTCCAATTCCCGCAGCTAGTGAAATAAGGAGCCAGGATTCATACCCAAGCAGTTTCACTCCAGAGTCTGTCTTCTTATCTACTGAAAGGATAAATGCCACAAAAGGATAATAATAAAAATATTAAGGGCCAGCCCTGTGGCTTAGCGGTTAAGTGTGCTTGCTCCACTGCTGGCGGCCCGGGTTCGGATCCTGGGTGTGCACCTGCGCACCGCTTCTCCAGCCATGCTGAGGCCGTGTCCCACATACAGCAACTAGAAGGATGTGCAGCTATGACATACAACTATCTACTGGGGCTTCGGGGGAATAAATAAATAAATAAATAAATAAATAAAATTATTAAAAATATATTAAAATTTGAGTATAATTTGGGGTCTCCCAGGCATCATGAGCAGTATAGGGCTCTGGGAAAGCAAATAGTAGGGACTCCCATAGTAGGCTGGGAGATCAGCTATGCAAAGGCCTTGAGGTACAAAAGATTATGGCTTTCATGGCATAACGCTAGTGGCCAAAGCAACGTGATAGAGAGAAGTTTTATAAACAAAGAAGACATAATAATTTGTTAATTTAACAAATACTTTTGGGCCCCATTGTAGGCCCTCAGGATAGCAGAAGTGAAAAAACTGTGGTCCCTGCTCTTAAGGAGGGAAGTGGTCCCTGCTCTTAAGGAGGGAAGAAGCATTAATAAAACAATCAATAAACAAATAAATAATGTTAGTTCCAATGGCCAAAAAGAAGGCAAGTAAGGGGGCTGGGATTCTACTCTAGAGAAAGTTTACCTACTAAGCTGACATTTGGCGAAGACAGGAGGGAAGGGGCCTTAAGGATTCCCGGAGAGGTAGGCTCAGGTAGAAGCAACCGAAAGTGCGAAGACCCTGAGCTCGTGGGGCTGGACACCTTGGATTTTCCCTAAAAACGCCAGGCTGCTTTAGGTCTTTGCTTAGATGTCACCTTCTCAGTGATGTCACTTCTTTACAATTGCAATCCCATCCCCACATCAGCACGCCCTGTCCCCTTCTCTGCATGTCCCCCTATCTGACATACTACATATTTTACTTAGTGGATATTGTCTTCTTTTCCCTACCACAATGTCAGCTTCAAAAGGGCAGGCATTTTTGCTTTTTTTCAGTGCTGTATCCCAACTCCCAAAACAATGCCTGGCATATGCTAGATACTCGATGTATTTATGAAATGAATATATTAGTGTTTAAAATACCCTTGTGATAAGTTATCTCTATGCTATCAGTAGAAAGACTGAGCCATGCAACAGATAATCATGACAGTATCAATGGTGAACTCTTTAAGGTACATGTTCATACTCTTATCATGACATGGAATATGGCACATGTAGTGGAAGTCAGTCCAGACCTGGACATGGAGAATTTCATTGATTATGTCAACTGCGATGAGTCACTTAATATCTCTGCCTTCCTAGCCGACATAATTATTTTCAGCATCAGATAGGACAGTGTTATATGGAATAAGACAGTGCCTGGCATAGAGTATGTTCATAGAGTAAATTGGTAAATCTGAATTTCAAATGCTTAATGGATGTAAAATCTAATTTTGATTTTGGCTGGTACAGCTTTCATGGTTCAGATGATCTCTAAAAAGTTTATTTATGATTGCTACATTTGGAATATTCTAGTTCTCCAGGAAACTCTGTTTAAATTTACAGCAATTTGTGGTATTCACCTAAATAGTTCAATTCAACCAATAATGATTGGGCGAATAATATGTGCCAGACCCTATGCTAAATGCTAGGGAAACAAAATACATGCTCCTGCCCTCCTGGAAGAGCTTAGAGAACAGTGGCATAAAAAGCATAAAACTCCATAATATTAATATAATATATGATGTGATATGAGGGAGAGTCTAGACTAGGGATTCTGAGAATGTAGAGATGGGACATTTAGTCCTGCCCCAGGAGCTCACAGGTTCAGGAAAGCCTTCCTAACGGAGACAACACATGAGTGATCTTAAGTGTGAGTAGCAGTAGCTGAAATAGAAGTGTGGAACAGGCAGAGAGAAAAGCCAAGGCAGCGAGGCATCTAATAATGTAATGTGTGCATGGGGGAAAAGGCATGAGCTCAGTGGTCCTAGGGCATCACGTTTGAGGCAGTGGGGAAAGGTAAAAGATAAGTAAGGAACAGCTCAAGGAGGGCCTGCATGCCGTGCAGGGAGGAATGGACTTTATGCTAGAGTATAAACCTAACCTCAATGGTATAAACCCTTGAGGGCTCTAAGCAGGAAATCCATGGTCTGATAGACAGGGCTTATTTTTTTCAATGTCTTTAATCCATTATAGGAAAAATAAGCCCATATCAAATCTCCCAGTTCTCTTTTCCATAGTTCTTCCTAATATGATTTTAATTTGCCAAAGTTTTCACGTCTCAAGATTTCACCACATGGTTCAAATGTTATGATATTCCCGGGAAAGAAATATATTAGACTTTGTAATCTAATCTTTTCTTTTTATTTGGCAGAATATTATAGAATCTGGATGCAAAGAATGCGAGGAACTGGAGGAAAAAAATATTAAAGAATTTTTGCGGAGTTTTGTACATATCGTGCAAATGTTCATCAACCTTTCTTGATTGCAACTGAACTTCTTCAGCATTTCTATTATTCAAACATCTTCCCACTGCTTAGAGACAACAAAACACTGTGCATTTCAAATATGTTGCCAAAACAAGTATTTTAGCAAGATGATCAGGATCTTGGATCAGATGAACTCTCAGAAATGAAGAGTGAAAACTGTCACTAACATGGTGACTATGAACTATCCTCAGACTTATTTTGCTCATTTATTTTTAATTTATTATTGAAATTGTACATATATGTAGCATAATAATATAAAAAAGTTGAATAAAATTGTGTACATATTTTGTCCTTTAAAATTGCACTGATATTTTACCTCTTAAAAGAAAATAAGCGACATTTGTTCGAGGGTGAGAGTCAAATTATTTAACAAGTGGTGGGGCTGGGTACCACTGCTGCAGGTAAACAGATGCTCCAACCAGTGTCGAACCCCTGACTCCCAGCCCTTATTTCCTTCGCCATTAGGTGTAGACCTGGAGGAAGAACTGAATACCGAGGAGAAAGGGGGACTAGGTATGAGCCAGTGCTTTACTCTGTCATTTAGTTACTGATACATAAAGCACCTGTTGTGAAAGGAAGACGTTGCAAATCCCTGGCATGTAATGTGCATCAGTATGTCTTTGACGATGGTGATAATAAACCTACACTGATAGGCAGAATTGTGTATAGAAAACTAATGGTTGCAACGACCTTTGTATTTCATGCTTTCTCAAGTACAGGTATTTTACTTTCACATTCTTTTTGCCATGTTTGTAGAATTAAAAAAAAACTGTTAGCACAAACATTATCTGACAGAAAATAATTGTTTATATATGTGTATATATATATGTGTATATATTGTGGTATACTGTTTAAAATTTGCAAGCTTTCTTTTAATGGAACTATGATTAAATGAAATATTCTTGTCTCATTACAAATTTCTTTCACCTAATTCACTCCTGACAGTCTCCACTAAGAGACCATAGGTTAGGAATTGATCTCTTAAGAATTTGATTTCACTCCATTTCACAGTACAAACTGGTTCTCTGTTGAAACATTCTTTTATCACCCAGTGCCCCATCCATGCTCATGTATCTCATTCCTCTGGTTGATGTATGCTTAAAAATTTCTTTCAAGATAGTTTCAGAGAAATCTGTATCCTATTTGACTTTCAAAGAGTCATGTGTTGGCTCTCGGTTTGTTCCCTAAACTCAGTCCAGACAAATAGTATTAGGCAGCCACACTTTAAAGTTTAAGGATTGGGATTGTAGCTGGTTTTTTTTTTTCTTTTTTTCTTTAATTTCACCTGAGATGGAAGCTTTTTTCAGTCTACCTTCTATTTTTTTTTTTTCCCTAGCTTTTCTACTGATGGAAAATAGGAAAAATGCACCACTTTTAACTGTGAGTTTCCAATCCAATCCTTGGACAAAAGTTAACACCCTCTCCAGTGTTGGGATAGGGGAAGGAAAATCATAATGGCAGTCACATTACCAGTAATATTTTATAGTGAGCAATAATCCATTCTGGTTACATAAGCACACAAGTGGGCTTAAAATTTGGCATTTTCCAGTGCTCAAAATTAGAATTCTTCCCACATTAGTTACTTAATATGGATCACTTCAGTTGACCTTAAGAAACTCAAGGCATAGATCTATAACTCCTTAAAATACACTTAGCTAACTTAAAAAACAAGGTCATCATGTAAAACAGTCTAAATTTTATTTTTCATGCTTGTATACTCAACAAAATCAATCTTTCTTTTGTGTTTCAAAATCTGCCCTTCTTGAACTGTCTTCCTTAATTTTTTTTTTTTTTGTGAGGAAGATCGGCCCTGAGCTAACATCTGCCAATCCTCTTCCTTTTTTGCTGAGGAAGACTGGCCCTGGGCTAACATCCGTGTCCATCTTCCTCCACTTTATATGGGACGCCACCACAGCATGGCTTGACAAGCGGTGCATCGGTGTGTGCCCGGGATCTGAACCGGTGAACCCCGGGCTGCCGCAGCAGAGCGCGCGCACTTAACCGCTTGCGCCACCGGGCCGGCCCCCTATCTTCCTTAATTAACCAGCCCAGTGTCATTTCCCTAGACGAGGCTACTGGATTTATGTCTCACCTACTGCCCTAAATGCTGGAAGTATTGCCATACATTACGTATAATAAAGAAAGCACAAATCCATAGACTTAGAACCTCCAATAGTAAAGGCGAGCCTAATAAAAATCAGATTTACAGTCCAAAGTCCTATTGGGAATTATATTCTTATCTTTCTTAATTTCAGATAAATAAAAAGATATATGAAACAATATTATTTCTAACCTTTCCCCTAGCAATAAACAAAAGGAGCTAGAAGGCAGAGGACATGGACATGCAAATAGAACCAATACATAATTTGTGAGCCCAGAGATTTTTAAAACGCAGTCACAAGTCTGGTTTTATATACTCTCATTCTTTATCTTGGAACAGAGAATCAATGGAATTATTTTGTTTTGCTGCTGTTGTTGTGAGAGGGGCTTATGTGTTTTGATGTGTTACTGTTTATGGCCGCCAAATTCAATGGCTCATAAGGTCAAATCGACACATACAATATGAAAATCAGGTAATGTGATTCATCCCTCTCTTCTCCCCCACCCCGGGCCCAGAAAGACTGCAGAATGCATTTTTGTTCCCTCATCTGTACTATATCTGGCTTAGTTTAAGCTTCTTGCTTTCACAAGTGAGTCACGGTTAACATATGCATGTCATGTATAAATATTTTGCCCAGAGGAAATCCCATTTCCATAGAGATTTGGTTCAATGCTTCCGAATGTGTCTGATGACTGAATTTTGTCTTTGCTAAGGAATTATTATGCAAGGTAAACTTGAGCTTCATTGAAAAGTCCCCTAACTGTGTAGTCTCTCTGTTGCAACATAGAAGAAAAATGAATGAATCATTAATAAAGAGTCATGATTTTGTCCTATATCTTACTTCTTCAATCCCGTATTTCAAAATAAGGTAACCATTAGAGGAATTGAAGAGAAAATTGTTACACGGAAGCAGAATAGAAATTTGTACATCCAGTTTTTACAAATTTTGTCATCACTTTCAGAATACTATCATCAGAGAATTCAGTGTCACCCTACAGGTGGTTTGTCTTCATCATCATCATTATCACTATTTTCTTTCATTAAGAAGTTCACTTCTTCAGGAATTGTAACCCTAGTTGTTGAAAACCTACAGCGTGTGAACATTATGATCAGTGCCACAGTTACAGCTGTAAATAAGGCAGCCATAGTCTCAGCCCTCATGGAGTTTACATTCCAGCAGAAAGGTCATATTATCAAATTAATCTTTCAAGTGCTTATTCAGTTATCAGTTCTATGAAGGGCATGAGGGGAGCATATAGAGAGAGGAGCAGCTTCGTACAAGATATCAGAAAGAGCCTCTTTGAGACAGTGACACCTGAGCTCAGCTATAAATTATATTAAGAATTATCTGGGTGAGGGGGAATAGGAAGAATCCATTGGAGAAACAGCATGCCAAAACCTTTAGTCAGGAAGGATTATGGCATGTTCAAAGAGTGGAGGGAAGGCCAGAGTGGCCAGGGTCAGAGAAAGCACTGTAAGAAGCTGTTAAGTATCAACTGGTCTTATAGGCTCCAGTAAGGATTTTGCTTTATACTCCAAAGGAAAGGGACTCATTCTGACATGTACAAAAAATATAGGAGGCATTATTTCTACTGTCCAGAGAAGAGTTGAAGTCAAAAATTGCCTTACCACTAAATATCAGGATAATAAAATTATTTCTAACAACATCGTCCTACACATACCTCATTATTGCAGTCATTTAATGAATTCCTTGCAACACTTAATGGAGATCAGCTTCAGCTAGTAATTATTCATTCACTGTCAAAAACAACAAACCTGTTTGCAGTACATGAGACTTAAGAGGCCAAGGTCATGGGCATTAACACATAAGTCGAGCACTGGGTTCTGAGGACAGGCAGAATTGATGTGTGGTCAAAATCTTAACACAGGGACGTCTTCTTGAAAGAAGGACTTTCTAAACCACTCTTTAATGAGAACTATTTGATATAAGGGAGGCCAATCATTCTCATCATGGAAAATGGGGTGGAGAAAAGCTCTAGGATATAATGACAGTGCTCTGCTGACTGGTGACAGCGCACAGTTAAAACAGGAGAAATGGAAAGAAGCAAGGTAGGTGGACTGGGTGGGGAGAGGGAAAGCTTTGAAAGCACAATTACACTATGTATAAGTGGGGACTTATGGGGTTAGGCTGTACAGTGGCTTCAAAGAGACAAAAGCTGATGTCTTCAAGGAGAGGATAAAAAAGAAGCAACACTTCTGAATAAGTGACTGCAAAGATCCGAAAGGTGAGACTAGACTGTCAGTGCAGTGATGGTTCCACATGACAAATACCATCTTTTCAAGGGTTTTAAAGATCATGATCATCAGCCAAGTTCAGTTTCCTGAGCTGATTTAATCAAATCAAAACCTCCAGTGTATCTATGAGTTCGGCTCTCTAAGGACACACCAGGCTGATAGAAATAATGATAATCTTCTTATACTTTCATGGTTCTTTAAAGTTCACAAAGCACTTTTATCTGTATTATTTTACTTGATAAGAGTTTCTGTCCCTCATGGGTATAGACAAGAGGAGATGCAGAGCCTATGAAACATTTTGCTTATGTTACTGATGTGTAAAAAATGAAAAAGAAAGAAATCACCTGAAATTTTTGTCCACCCGCAGCTATTTTTCTATGCCCTATTGCCTTTCGTATTTCCTTTCAAATAAGCCTGAGCATAATACTTGGGGTAGAAAATTATTTGTTGTTAAAGAAATCAAAACAGAGTTTAGGCTTGTATTTTTATTCCATATTTTGATTATTTTTTCTTCACACAATTCTATTCTGGTGTTTTGTTAGCTTTGCCCAGATGGCAAATGCGCCATTAAGTTTATCCAGCCTGAATTAATTATCATTTTATAGTAAAAGAAAGTCCTCTCCTGTTGACCAGTAAGATGTTTGTGCTGTATTTATGAATAAATAAAGGCAGCTGTTGTATACAGCATTATTAATAGCATTGGTTTAACCATCTCAGGTGAAAAGAAAGCCACTCTTTTCAATATAATATAAGCTCTTGGTGTCCCAGAGTTTATTAAAGAGTGAAAACCACAGACCTGTTATCCACACTGTAGCATAATAGGAAAAATGCTTTCTATAGACGGGGCATTCAGTTCAAAACTGCAGACATAAGGCAGCACTCTTTTAAATGGTTATTGTCTTTGCTGGTCATTTGGCCTTGATATTATGCTTCACAGG